TAATAATTCACTAAAGGAGAAATGAGGTGTGGAGGAGAGAATGATGTTTGGGTTCATTTTTTTATTGCTGTGTAACAAACCACCCTAGAAATAGTGGCTTAAAATAAGAACAACATTTCTTATTTTTTATTTTTATTTCTTTTTTGCTCATGTATCTACAACTTGGGCATGGCTTCATTAAAGAAGGCCCAGCTTTGCTCCATGTAGAGTTAGCTGAGGCTGCTTGCCTGAGGCTGAAAGACCCCCTTCCAAGATGCTAGCCCTTGTCTGGGAGCTCAGCTGGGCTGGGGGCTGGGAACCTTGGTTCGCTCCATGTAGACCTCTCCACAGGCTGCTTGGGCTTCCTTACAACATGATGAGTACGTTCCAGAAGGAGTATCCCAAGAGACATGGAGATGACAGTTTCTTAGGCTTGGCCTTAAGAAATGGTATAGCATCATTTCCACTATCTTCTAGTGGTTAATAGTCAGGGAAGCCAGATGCTGGGAAAGGACACACAGACTCACCTCTCAATGGAAGGAGCGTCCAAGACTTTCTAGACTGATTTTAAAACTTGCCACAATGTGTAGTCCCAAAGCTTGACCAGACTCCATTTTTTTCATGAATCTTGTATACATTTGGAAGGGAAAGAATATCAGACAAATCACTGCCATCTAAATCTTTTGATCTATAAGTGATGTCTCTATCAATGAGCAGTTGACAAAAGACAAATTTTACTACACCGACATATCGTAGTCTGTGTGATAGTTTAAATCACCCACACATCTCTGTGGGCAGACTTCCCTTTGTCTTGATGGTGTTTCCTTCAACTCTTACAGACTCATAACAGCTGGTGGCTAATTTATTGTGCCACCTGAGTCCTGTGTCTCGTAATAAGTTAGAATCTATCACGCTCATTGTCAGTTAACCTTCATTCTCCAAAAAGGAGTCAAACCCAATTTATGATAAGATAAGCCTTCTCGTTCCCCTCTCTTGACATTGAGATTTTTGAATTAGGGAAGAAATTTGGTTTTTGTTATCCACAATAAGTTCACAAGATCATTCATTCTCTCAAACAATCCTTGACTGTTCCTTGAGAAACACAATGTTAAATTTTAGGGTAAATGTGAAAATAATATTAGAGTAACTTAAAAAAACAAATGTTATATAATTAACTGGAAACTAATGTGATATCTGGCCCTTTACTAGCATTTATTAAGAGAAGGGACAAGAAAGATATTTGAATTTACATTAAATTATAATATTTACTTACTGTAAGGCAAATTCATACTCTCTTCTTATAGGCACACACTTTGTACATGATCATAATGTAAGTCTGGTATTTTTAAGATTTGAATTAGATTTAATCCAAAATAGGGAATAATTCTTTTAAAGTACTTAATATATTTTTATATATAGCCTTAGCATAATTGATAAAATGTTTAATTAATAAAGCAACAGGGATAGAAGTTGTGGTTGCCTCCAAAAATACTAACTTCTCTCTGCTTTAGGATTTTAATTGGCGCCTCCTATTAGTTATAGAAGAACTCTAATTCAGGTTCCTATTTGCTTCTGAGGAATAACAAGTATAAGATGTGGATATTCATGTTTCTTCATTGTAGATCAGTTTTAACAATAGGAATTTAGGTTTGAATTTTTAATTCTCCCCAGAATGTAATGGAATTCTGTTTCTTCAGATATGTTTCTTTAGTTTATAAACTAAACTTTATATCTGCCAAAATTCCTTTTCACTCAAATTTTTCTGTCCTTGATTTATGATTATGGTACCATCCACACTAATTTGGCATCTGTAATATTGAACACCAGCAATGAAAGCAAAGTTCAGTGATTCCACTGAAATTTATGTTACTTGTACTGCTGTATTCCCTTCTGAATCGAGGTACTTGGAATTTTATGCTCTTAAGGAATTGTTTGTTTTTCCAAACTGGTTAATGCATCAGGAATTTGACTTCATGTAATCATCATTAAACAAATACTCTTGACACCTTTTCTGTGGGAATTATCAGAGTGGCTGAAATGTGGGCATATCTGAAAAGCCCCAGCAGTTTTTGTTTTAGTTTGTTTTAGTTTAGGAAAATGCAAACATGTAGCTTTTAGCAGAAGATCACTGAGCTGCTCTGGGGCAGCTCAGGGCAGACCCCTGGGGTTACAGACCAGAGGGCCATGCAGCTCTTGTGGCTGTGTGAGTCACTGGCCTCATCTTCAGAAACCATGTTTGGGCAGTTTAACACTTCACATTGACCATTTCCCAAGGCTGCTTACATCTTGAGTGGCATCTGTACCTGGTAATGTTAGTTTTGCTTACTCAGCGCCGTAGAGTAAGTAACTGATGCTCAGTGGGGCCTGAGAGTCTGTTAGGTTGAATTGCCTTGAAAATGTCATGACATTTATGTACCCTGTGTTTCAGAATTAAGAAGCATCTCAAAGAGTTAAGATGGACTGGATACTTCTGGTGGAGCCTGAGTTAAGACAGGATTTATGAGTTTCATAAAACAAAAAGCAAAAACAAAAACAAAAACAAATCCTCTGGAATGTGCATCTCACTGTTGGCCGAATAGAATACTTTGATAACCCTTATCTAGAATTTATACCAATAGATGTAACTGACAAAATTAATACCTAGAATTTACAAATTAATAAGAGAACAGAACAATCTAATAGAAAAATGGGCAAAAGATGTGCATGGGCAATTCACAGAAGAGTAAACACAAATGAATATATGAATAGAAGGTCAATCTCAAAGAAATGAAAATGAAAACAAAATGAGATTCCATCATGTTAGAAGAAATAAAAATTTCTGAAAATCCTGTGTTGTAAGCAACAGGAACTCTCATATGTGCTATGGAAGTATGATTTAGTAAGAGAGCTTTGGAGAACATTTTGGCCATATCTAGTATAGCGGATATTTTTACTTTACAAGGATTCCATTTTTTGGGTATACCTAGAGTAGCTCTGTTACAGACACATAAGGAGTCACACACAAGAATTGTCATTGCCACATTGCAATAGTGACAAAGTGCAAACCTAAATGCCCTACAGCAAGAGAAAAGATAAATAAAGTGTGAGACAGGCATCCTCATCACAAGTTAAAATGAATGACTAGAACTTCATGTATCATCATTAATAAATCTTAAAAGCATGGTGGTAAGCAAAATTAGCAAGTTTTCAAACAAGATTGTTGGAAACTACAATATTATATATTTTGTGGGTACATACATATGCAGTGATATTATAAAAATATATGAGAATGATAGTGAATATAGGGTAGGGGGTCATCCCTGGGGAGGAAGGAAGGGAGTAGAGGACAGGAGATGGGTATACAGGGAGCTTCAACTGTTCTGCAAATAGTTTATTTGAAAATAAAACATTGATTTACCCATAGCAAAAGATTTGATAGGGCATGGTAGATAAAGGGATCTTTATTTTATTATTCTCTATATAATAAAAACTTTATATTTGGAAAAAATTTTTAAAAGTAATGAATTTAAAGCCATATAAAAATGTTCTTGGCTAATGTAATTAAATTAATTTATTTATTTGTAGCAAGAGAAAATGACCAAATTTAATACATACACATATATGGGAACACCATGTACATGAGAGAGTCAGAGACTCTGCATGCAGGAGAGGTCCCAGCGTAATTTTAAAAACCACATTTGAACTATACAGTATCCCTTGAATTGCTACTGAATAAGACTGACTTCACTTAGCTGCAGCAAATATTTATTGAGTGTTTAGTCTCTGCGAGACTCTGGGATTTTGTTGACGTTACTCTGGAGAAGCAAGTAGACTCAGCTCTGCCTTCATAGGACTTAACAGTCTCCCAGGTAGACTGGCGTTGGGCAGGTAAGGAAGCGGGTCATGATGGGAAAAGTCCCTAGACGACTAGGTCTGGATGGGCACCACCCAGAAGTCAGTGTAGGAGCTGGCCTGGCAGCTCTGCTCAAACTGATCGCAGTCACGCTCTCCCAGGAGTATGAACTGGGAAATAGGAGGAGGAAGGGCAGTTGGCTGAGAGATCCTCATCCAAAGAGTTAAGAAGTAGTGAGCAGCCACTGGACAGGAGGATATGATGGGCCATGAAGGCACGGGAGTTATGAGGTGGAGAAGGGAGGCGATAAAGAAAGAAAGGACAGAAGGCATGGCTGGGTCACTTAAAGAAGGAGCTCAACATGCTCCTGCCAAAGGCACCCAGATAACCTGCCCCAGCTCTGTGTAGGATGCCAGTGACAGCTAGAAAACTCTGCTGCTCCAGGCCTTGCTCATCCCACAAGCTCTGGCCAACCTGGGAATGGCCTGATAGCAGGAAGGACATGAGGAGATACTCGGGGCTATCTGAGAAATACCACTGCAGAACTCTTGTGGTGCTGTAAGTGATAGCTTCAAGCTACCCAGAAGTTGGCCTCATCTTGGGTGAGAGAGCACTTCTGATTATATAGACCCTCTGTGGGCCCCTACTGGTTTTTGGACCTCTAACCAAATAATTTCAATCAAATACAACCCAAAGTATGGTTTCTTTGACACAGCCTAGTTCTCAGCTCTGTAAAGGGGGAGTCTTCCCAGCTTCTGTAAGGCCTGCATATTCAGTGGTCCTTAGGTTCCTTGGGGCCTGGTGTGTGGCAGAGATACCTTTCCCCTGTGACTATGATTATCCAATAGGCAACAAGGACAGAGGTGTTTGGAGCACTCAGGACAGCCGACCACCATTAAATCCTGGTTCTGTCACTAGCCATGTCACTTACACTCTCTTGTGCTTCAGCTTCCTCATCTATAAGTGGGGAGATCATAGTACCACCAGATAGTATTAGAATAGTTACTGTCTGGGAAATGTGTAGGAGAGCTGACACCCAGGAATTACTGTATTGGTGTTAACTGTCATCATTGTTGTGGTTATTTATTATATAACTTGAGTCTCTATTCTTTGATACCAAAATAGCTAGTTTTAAAGAAAAATGATATTTTTCATTTTTCTTTTTTTTCTTTTTTCTTTCTTTCTGCAGCAAAATATATGTTATTCCTTTGCAGTGCAGCTGCCCTATAGATTTTGAGTTTCGTGTTACTTTGATTCAGTCTCATCAAGCCTTTACCATTGAGCCAACATCAGGTAAGAGAGTCAACATTTCAAGTTTCCAGTTTCCTTAGAGTTCTTAACTTAAAGAGGATTTGAAGAGTAAATCTCAAGTTAAAAAAGAGAATAAATCACATTTGAATATGTTATTTTCAAATGGCAAGAGTAACAGATTTTATATATCTGACATAGTGCCCATTGGAATTGGACACTTGGGGATCAGACACTTGGGATCATTTGTGTCATGTAGATAATTTATTATAGCGTCCAGATAAATTTTTTCCGAGGTCAAAACCTGAAATCAGAAGTTCATTCTAAATTGGCTCTTGCTACCTCCTGGGTTTTGTATTTACCTTTTAATTCAATTTCAGATAAAATGGGAATATTATTTTTTTTGAGCTTTCAGAATCTTAGTGAAGTGTCTAATGAATTGCCTCATGGTGTGGACATGCCCCAAAAGACATGGATCCCGATGCTGCTCAGGACCTTTGAAAGTGAAATCTCTACCTGAAGTGCTTTCTGCTCCCCAGTTTCTGTCTCTTTAGGTTTGGGATTTAAAAATCTGTCCACAGTGGTCTGCTGTGAATACCAAAATAAGTTTTGGTTTTAAATGTTTTGGTAGTTATCCATTTGTGTCCTGATCTTTCATCATCACAAGAATATATTGTGTCCAACAAATGAGGGTTCAAAGCAGAAACTTTGAATTACTTCTAAATTATGAAATGTATGTAGATTGTTTCCTAGACAACAGGGTCCATTCTGAGATTTTGAAATACAATGTAGCTACTATTTACATTGAAAAAAGTAGGACTTGATTCTCTTTCTAGAGAAAACTTTATTATTTTTAAGCTTTAAAAAGAAAATAAGTGGCTACCAAAATTATACTAAACAAGATATTATTTCTGCTTTTAAGTATAGTTGACATTCTCACAATAGGCCTTTTGGTAGAATAATGATAGTAACACGTAACAATATGTGGGCACTATTCTAATCTAAGATATGTATAATCTGTACCACAACCATGTAAGATCTACAATTATTATTTCTATTTTATAGACAGAGAAATGAGGCACTGAGGGGTTCAATAACTCATCTAAGGACACTCACTAGTATGTGGCAGAGGTGGGATTTGAACCCACTCAGTCTAGTTCCAAAGTCTGCGTACTGCCTCATAAAGTGCAAATTGAATTTTCACCTTAATTCTGGAGAGGCAATGAAAAATTAACCTAAGAGGTGTGTCAGTAAAGTGAGCTGGCTCTTGTGATCTTGGTCTAGACTCTAGTTAGCGAAATAAAGATTGTAACAAGAAAGAGGAGGTAATTCTGCCCCATCCTGGGTTGTCAGACTACACTGGACCTCTGGGGTTGTCCCTGAGAGCCACATTGTAAGACGGATCCACATAAGACCCAGTGAAAGGACATCAGAGTCAGTGAAGGAATGGGGACTGTTGGCTTCAAAAAGAGAAAAAAGAACTGGAGGCAGATTAGCGGGGTCAATAATGAGAGTCACTGTGGTGTGGAAAGGAATGGGCCTGTGCCTTGTGGCTCCAAAGGGTAGAACAAGAACCTGTGCATCACCAGAGACATCCAAAGATGAATTTGTTGCTTATCAGTTAGCTGGTTCACCATCGCTGAAGACTGATAGAAATGTTACAGAGGGGAGTCAAACATCAGATGGGGACTTAGACTAGGTCAGTGCCCCAGAATGTTGAACAGTTGTGGAAACTATCATGCTCAGGGACCTACACCCAATGATTAGGTTTGGTAGCTTGAGAGATGTCTGGTTTTCTGTTCTTGTAACAAGAACCTCCAGGTCATTCTTATATGGACATTCCTCAGAGTAGTGTTTGGGGATCACTGGACTAGTTTCATCCATAGGGTCCTGCCTCGCCTGATGGTCTATAATTCTATTAAGTTCTGTAGGCAAAAGAGAACTACTGATATTTCTGAGTAGTCTAGATTGGAAAAAAATTTAGGAAGGCCAGCGTAGCTGCAGCGTGCAGGTGTGACCAAGATGGTGACAAACAGGAAATTGTTGTGTTGGGAATGAAAAAACTTAGGTCTCGAAAGCCTGAATAAGGCTGGTGTCAGCTGCCAGGAAAAGGAACGGAAAATTTGGGAGAAAGCTAGGGATTATTTTCTTCTCTTCCCATTTTATAGATTAGAAAACTGAGCCTCAAGTAAAGTAAGCAAGTGAAGTCACAGAGCCCATGGAAGCCCGTGGGAGGCCCGCCAAGAGTGTGAGACAGGGTCTGTGTGTTCTCTGGGTCCTTGCTTTGTCAGAACACTCTGAGCAGCAGTGGTGGCCTACAATTGTCCCAGTGGGTGACATGTGATTCACAGGGCTGAGTCAGGTGGAAGGAACACCTTGAAGCCGTCCCTTCTGTAATCCAGTGAATCGAAAAAACTGTTAGAATTTGTCAACACCTTCTTCATGGACAATTTTTAAACTATGTTGCTAATAAATTCCCAACAGAGGCTTAGAGAGATTAAGAAGTTTACCCAAAATCACACAGCTAGTGAAATCCTAAATTTCAAAGGTTCAGACCAATACTTACTAACTTTTCAGACATGTGCGAGAATGATCTGTACTTTCTGAGATTTTTGAAGGTAGTTCTTGAGAAAACATGACAACACGGTAATAACATTATATGGACATGTAAGAAAAGGAATTAAAAATTATCCCCGTCCTGGGCCTTACTGCTCTAACAAATTATATACTTTTATAGTTCCATCTCCTTTTAGTAACTGCCTGTCTATATGCACGTTTTACATAATTGTAATCATGGCAAAAATATAGTGATATTTTCTGGTGACTTCATTTATTATTATAGCATTTTTTAGTGTTGTTACATTTTTTTCATAATTCTCACTTTATTAACAAACTAGGGTTTTCTTAGCCTTTAGTTTATTTCTAAGTTTTGTTCTCTCTATCTATCTCTCTCTCCCCGCTCCCTCTCCCTGTCCACTATCCCTGCCCTGTGATTTAACATTGTCTCTGGTTAGATTAAGGGTAGTGATCTGAAACTGGCCCCAGATGTAATTGAACTGAAGCCATAAAATCATGGCTTGGGTTTTTTGTTGTTGTTGTTGTTGTTGTTTTAACTAAGTAGTAAATTTGGAGGTGCTCGTCTCACTTTTAAAACATGATACATACTCTCATTTCTCCCACCATTAATTTTTGTCAAGCAGTAAGCTATGACTGCTTGGCACACCTTTTATAGATGTTAACATTTGACAATCAGCTGCAACCAAGTTCCTTTAACAGAGCTGTGTTAACTGGTATCCCTGTTAATGGAAAAAGCAGTATATGCTGGTTGCCTAGGCTGCAGCTCCAGTGTACTCTATGTGTTAGGTCTGGGCTGGGAGCACTTAAAAATAAATCAGCCAGGTCAAGGCAAACATTAATCCTTGCTCCAGAGCTGTTCTTATTTTTTTTAAGTTAATGAACTGGAGCAGAAGCAATAGAATGTTCTTAGCCTAAAGCCCCCAGCGAATTGCAGGTCAAATGGGTTTACTTCCTGTCAAAGTGGGTGGTCAAGGTATTGCACTCCAGGACATCATGGTGTTTCTTCTATTCAGCTGATCTTTGGTTGACAGATAAAATGGAGGGCTTCTGCTGATTCATGCTCCCCTGCAGTGGTTGTCTCGATATCTTGAGTCACTAGTGAGTGCAATTTAAATATTTTTACTTCTGCTCTCAGGAAATTGACAAATACGTATTTCCGAAGCACTGTGCTAGGGATCCTGGAAGATAAAAAGATCTTTGGGGCCTGTTGTATGCTTTAGGGACTTGCAATCTAGTTAGGAGCTTGTAAACACTGAGAGGCAACAATTCAGGCCTTACAGGAATGCTGTAGGGCTGACAGAAGTTTAGCGGAATTGCAGTTTCTATGGATGGAGAGTCAGGAGAAGTTTCATGTAATGTGTAGGTTGACGTAGGCTTTGAAGTTTGGGTTCATTCACTCACTCACAAGTATTTACTGAGCTAGGAACAGTGATGAGGAGGGGCCTGCTTTTGTAAAACTTACATTCGAATCCAGGGGAAGGCAGATGGTAGAGGTAATTTCAGAGAGTAGGATGAAAAAACCGAAAGATCTGGAGAAAGGGCTCTCCACGCTAAGGGAATAGCAAGTGCCAAGGCCCTGAGGCAGCAGGAGCCCAACGTCTGAGGGTTAGAGTGAAGGCCCCTGTCCTCCTTCAGGTCTCAGCTGCAGCCTCCTCACCAGAGTCCTTTCGGTTCATCCTCTCTCAGAGAAAGTGTCGCATTTTGCTTGCCTCCCTATACCCTGCTTCATTTTTCTTATTGGTATTCATGACATGACTTTATGTTTCACATTCATTTATTTCTTTTTGTTTGCTATCCCCAACTAGAATGTAAACTTTAAGATCTGGGACTTTGTTTTATTTATTGCTCTTTTTTTTTTTTAATCGCTTAAAACAGTGCCTGGCACACAGTAAGTACTGGCTGAATGAAGGATCCATGTGTTTGAGCATAGAAAGCAAGGGAGAGAGTGATGCAAGATTCAGAGGAGGGTTAGATGGGAAAGGTATGTTAGGAATGTATGAGAGAATGTGCAAGGCCTTTGCAAGGAGAAGAAAGACCAGATGCACAGGGCCATAAGGAATCAGCTAGAAAGCAAACCAGAGAGCCTTCTGTGGCAGTCAGAACATTAGCCATTCTCACACTTAGTACATTGATCCTCCCTCTTCTGCCCACCCTCCCTTTCTCCCTTTTACTTATCTTACATTTGTTGAGCACTTACTATGTTCCAGCCCTGATGCACCAGAGAGATACAAGGGAGGAATAAGGCATGATAGGATATTTGACTTTGAAGGGAGCAGTAGTTCATCTTAAATATTTGAAAGGAAAGAATCGAATTACCCAAAAATATAGGGCACTGAATTATTTGGCAGAAGCTTCTTCGTGTGTTCCTACCTTTTCCTTGTTGTTCACCGTGTTAACATTGACATCTGGTAAGTAGTTTAAAGGTTATAGTTCTGGGAAGTCATCTCTGATTCACTAGTGCTGATTGATATGTATATATTTATATAATTGACACAATCAAATAATTATTATGAAGGATTAATGTAGTAATTGGTAAATAATCAATCAATGTAAGCACGTAGAAGTTGATTCATGTGTCTTTAATGAAATGAGTATATAAGGAGAATAGAAATACTTGTGCCTATCCTGGGAAGAACGTACATGTGTGTGTGTCACCCTCTTTGACTGCACTTTGCAGAAGGGAAAGTATCATGTTTCCTCATTTCTCTCCTCTCAGGAATAATTCCAGCTAATGGGAAGATGAATGTGACTGTGAAGTTTACACCTTTTCAGTATGGGATGGCACAAATAAAAATGCAGTTATGGGTTTCACAATTCAACTCTCAACCCTACGAATGTGTCTTCACCGGAACATGCTACCCCAACATGGCTTTAAAGTATGGCGGCTTTGCAGTGTTTTTGTTTATTCTTAAAACTTTTTAAGAATCCAAGCCTTCTGTCCATTTTATTTTTCTTTCTTGTAACAAAATGCTATCAGAAACTTACTTAAAATATACTTTAAAATATAATGATAATGCATAAACTATCTTTAATGCTTGTAGCAGTAGCTGCTTCTGTCATGAGGAGAAGAGTTCACTGACAAAAAGGGGTCTAGGGTGATGCTTACTTTCACTGATGACTACTGGTGTGCTGTTTGAATTTTTGACCATATGTATGTATTACTGTCTATTCAAAAAATTTAAATTATAAAGCCAGAACAACATAACTCTTTTCAAAGTTTCAATATAACATTGTAATTTATTGACTGCCTGCTATATGCATTGTCCATTGCCAAGCCCTATAGGAAATGGTCCACACCCTGAAGATACCCACAACAGAGGAGCCAAAACAAATTATGTATAACAAGTGACTTCAACATAAGGCAGAAAGAGAAACGTGCCACATCGGAAGATTTAAAGCACCATAAGTGTTCAAGTCAGAGTGAAGTTGTGAAATGGCATTAAGTTTTGCTTTGTAATAATTTTTTTCTGAATTTTTTTCCCATTTGAATATGAGCTTGTATTTTAATATCCCAAAATATTTAGTTAACATAAGTTTTTTCTAATATGCACAATTTTTATAAAAGTTAAAAGGAAAATTTGTCACCGTGTAAATACTAATCTTGGAAAATCCTTACAAATATTTTGAAATGATAAAGAAATAGCTTGATTTTCCTCTTCCCATCACACGTAGATACACATCACATATTAACATAATTAGGCATATTAAAAATGGAATAACTAGCTTATGTCAAAAAATGAACTAACCTCATGATTTATTATATATTTATATCATGATTTTCTTCCTATAAATTCAAAGTAGCCTCTATCATTTTTTTTTACCCAAAGCCTGCAAAGAACCATGGTAGAAATAAAGTTATTCAGACAGTAAACAAGTAGCATTGGATATAAGCAAAAAGCTTAATTTTTCTGTTGTCAAATACTGGCTGAGCAGAATGCTGTTTGCCATCTCACGTCAATGTGCTGCAATACGCAACTAGCTTTGTTAAAGACGTCACCTGAGTGGGATTTTTACTTATATATCCTTCCACAGAAGTGTTCTTAACTACACAAGGGCATTGTAAGGAGAAAGTGCCATACAAATGCTGGCATATACAATTCCTAAACTATTATATTTTGGTTTCCCAACTAGAGTTTAGTATCCTCTTTAGCACACTCTTGACATTTTCAAGAACTACGTCTCAAGACTTGCATGTCTCCCCACACTGCAAATAGTCCTATAACATATAAATTCCACCATGAAGGAAAAAAATTATCCTGGCTCCAGTGTTCTCCAAAAGTTTCAGTTTGCTTGTTTTGTTTCAGAATAGGGTGTATGATGGACTTAATTCATGTCCTAAACTTCGCATAGCCAAATTCCACTCAATAAGTCTTTAGCCTGTCACTTTCTTAGGTCCCTTCATTTTTATTGTCAGCACTAGCAATTAGATTTCTTAAGGAAACTTTTTTAACCCTCTCAAAAAATTTTTTGTTGTTGTTTCCTAATATTCACAGCAGAGATGATGTCAAAGCTCCATTGAGATGTGGCTGCTGGGCCACAGCTCACCCCCTAACCAAGCACCTCATCCTTGCACATCACAGCACGCTTGTCAGTGTGCGTCTCACCACAGGACAGGTTCTCCCATGCCATGGACTTGCCAGGGACTTACGTGGGCGATGTTAAATTTGAGATCGCTGGCACGTCACCCATGTTGTGCAGTGGGACCTATTCAGTAGGTGCTCAGCAAATGCATATTGACTGTCAGAATGAATGAATGTTAGCATATCTTATGTCTGTAATATCATGGATGTGTGTAATCTTGTAAAACAAGTATTCAGATATTCTTTCTTAATAGGTAGCACTTATAAACACAACATAGTTCTACAGCATCTTATAATAAATAACTCGAATGGTTTCTATAGGCATGTTGACAGCACTGTTCATACCTACATATGTCCAAAGGCAGTTTGCGGTTACAGATAAAGAGCTCAAACGTTAGTCTGAATCACTTTTTGAAAGATCTTACTACAATGGGCATAATTATTATTTTACTAGGAAGATAAATCAATGTAAGATTATTTTTAATGTCGTAAATTTTGCTATTGAAAACCAGCAGCCCAGAAATGAATTATGCTAGACCATGAGAATAATTTACAGCATGTCATATTTGCCACTTGTTATGTTCTTTGAGCATGTAAGGACAAACAGCCATTGGTAAGTTATTTTAATATAAATGATTATCCTCTGGTATACTGACATTGCATTTATTTTGGTAGACTACTGGTTTAGCACACCAAACAGATTTTCAGTTTAGATATACCAATTAATGGACCGTAAGTCATGGTATTATCAGAAGGAAGATAAAAACAATAACCTTCAGTTGTTGGATTATATACTAATTTAATATCTGTTTTAAACTATAGATTAGAAGAATTTGAAAGATTAAATACTCTCTCTAAGAAAGTAGACGTTCCTCCAGAAAAGACAATGACACAGATAAGTTTTCATCGACCGCCAGCCAAGGCGAAACCCCCAAAGATTAAGGTAAAGTGGGTGGCATGCTAACCATGATGGGAGGAGCGAGAGAAAAGCAAAATAATAAATTTTTCCTCCTGATTTGTTCCCAGGAAATTGAATATCAGAACTTGAGATTTCCAGTAGATTTATCAAATCCATTTGCTGTGGCAACTGTTTTAAACCAAGAACCAGGAAAATTGAAGATAAAAGAATTGAAGGAAGGTAACTAGTTGATCCACCATAAATCAGCACCTGGGCAGGATATGAAAGAATTGTTGCTTGTGGCATTTACTATTTATGAATAACAATAACAAAACTCAGATTGCTGTTAAGTTTTGCCTTTAGAAATGTGTTTCTGTCTCGGCAAATGATTCTGATTTGATTACCAGTATAATCATTGTTTGTTCCTGCCCTCAGTTTTGGACCAAGGCAATGAGATTTCAAAAACAAGACAGATGAAGGAAGCACTCTTTGAACAGAAAGTCAGACAGGACACATGTGAAGAGATTGAAAATCACCTTAAGTGGTAAATATGGAACAATTATTTGTACAAGTGACAGCACATTGTTTTTGGTAATGGCTTTTTAATATGAGACAAAATGAAATGTCATAACTTTTTATATGATTATTCTTACCCCCTCCCCAGACCTTCTATTTCAGAATCAAGTTTCTATTGGGAATAAATCAATGTGACTAAATTATGCTCTTTCTTAAGAGTGACCAGACAGTGGCAGAATCCTACCAGGATGCCCCTGTGCCCTGGGTTGTGTGGCCAAGGGGCCTTGTGGATTGTGGGAGGCTGCTCAGATGTGAGACTTCTGCCTTGTGCTCCTTCAATCAAAATGGAACCCTTTTCACAATTTTTACCAGCTCATACCAGGCATATTCATGTATACAGATTCAGCTCAAGCAAATTTTGGAAACTCTTGAAATGAGCTAAAAAAGAGACTCCTGGAAAGGGTCTTTGAGAGGCCACCTTGTCCATGCCCCTGCCCAGGCATTCCCCGCCCTGCCACTCTGCTTGCCTGGGGTGGGTGGTGCCCTGTGTTTCTCCTGGACATACCTTCTGCTTCAACTTGAGTCTGTAGTCAAGGTCTGACCTCAGCTAAATAGGAAGTGTGCCAAGTAACTGAAGAGCATTTTATTTGTTTGTTTGTTTGTTTGTTTTTGTAGGTCTGTATTTTTCTCTTTTTAATTATGGTGGCATTGGTTAACAAAATCCAGTAAGTTTCAGGTATTCAATTCAACAGTAAAGCATATATATATTGCATTGTGTGTTCACTACCCATAGTTAGATTTCTTACTGTCACCACATACTTGACCTCTTTTACCCCATCTACTGAAGAGCATTTAAAAAAATACTCTTCCTCTATTATAAAAGCACAGTGTCATG